ATATATTATTCGCAAAGTTATAATTTCATACCCGTGCTCAACTTACTAAATTGAACGTTAAAGTAAAATTTACGATGAAATTTCATTAATTTCTTTTCATTTCGGGATTTATTTGGCAGGTGTTCAAGGTGTCGCTAAAATTAAATTTGTATAGTTTCTTAATAGTTTCAAAACTGTCATCAAGCTAATTCATTGGATTATTACATGTTAAATGACTAAGGTTTTTTCAAATTTTTTCGCCAGTACTTCTTTGCACACTTAATTACTTTGGAAACACATGTGACTGTCCGCATTTTTATTAGTAATGCGCATCTATTCCTGAACTTTATAGCCTGAAATTTCCTAAATATTGAACGTGATAATTACACTGGAATTCATCAGTACATTTGTGAATGTGTTAATAATTTGTCAGTGAATGTGCATTTGTAAATGCGCTAATTAATAATAGTCCGTGAATTTGTGAATATCAAGTTTGGTTTGTTTCGCTTTCCAGAGTCGACGATGAATCGAATCATTCGTTCACAGAATTTTATTTTAATTCGATGTATAAATTCAGTCAAAACTCTGATAAAGTTTCTGTTCATAGAACGCAGTTTGTCACGCAAGAAACGCGGCACTTACAGAGTTATGTACACCTTAAATGTAAGGGAATTGGAGATATTTATGAATATTTAATCGAACTACAACAGAATAAGATTAACGGAATCTTTTTCTTATCGATTGCGCCTCAAATATAGATAAAATATTGAATTTTAGTTTAAACAATATTTGTTTACAAAGCTACAAAGTGATAGCAGGTAAGGCCGGTTTTGCCCTTGATCGATGATCCTTGCAATTTTATAATCCCGTTATCCCAAGTCTCATTAATATAGAAATAATTAATGCTATTAAGGAAGGCCCTTTCAAACCTAAATTTTGCCTAAAACACTGAATTTACATTTGTTTCACGTTTCAAAATATGGAAAATAAGTAAATTATGGAAAAATAAGTGGATTTTTAATTATGGAAATAAGTAAATTAAATTAATTACAGTTCAGCACATTGCGTGTACATAGAAAATACGTGGGTATTTTAAGCATTTTTTTTAAATTGCGAACTCGCATAAATGATGAAGTTTTTTAATAATAATTCAGAACCCTATAAGCTTATTACAAATCATGACATCAATAGAAATAAGGGCAACTAAAGGAATAACTAAATGTGAGAGTTTCGTATTTTTTTCGATATTTATCACGTGATACGAACATTGTACTGGAATCTCATTGCGTTCAGAAATGATTTATTGGATTATGATAGCGGTACAATCACAATACAATCTCTGCGATCATTTGTTACACAGTCTCTGTCCCCTCGCAGTTATCTTTAACCAGGAGAACAAAATCTAATATAAGGTAGCTTTTTTTGCAATGAATGTGAATACTTCAAAACCAAGGCGCTTTTGAGTCGAGTTCAGCCTTGTTTAGCCTGCGAACACGACACGAGCACAGCGATATCGACGGCACACTACATCACCAGCACCGCTGTACCTGCTGGCTGGTGTAGCTGCTGGTGCAGCGAGTGACGTAGGTGATGGTGCTGCAAATGATGGAGTAGATGGCGCCGGTAGTGGAGCAGGTGGTTGCGTAGGTGGTGACCCAGGTGGTGGTGCTGACGGTGGTGCAGGTGGTGGTGTAGGTGGTGGCGCAGGTGGTGGTGCAGGTGGTGGCCCAGGTGGTGGTGCAGGTGGTGGTGCAGATGCTGCTGCAGTTGGTGGTGCAGGTGGTGGCCCAGGTGGTGGTGCAGGTGGTGGTGCAGATGCTGCTGCAGTTGGTGGTGCAGGTGGTGGCCCAGGTGGTGGTGCAGGTGGTGGTGTAGGTTGTGGTGTAGGTGGTAGTGCAAGCGGTGGTGCAGGTGGTGGTGCAGGTGGTGGTGCAGACGGTGGTGCAGGTGGTGGCCCAGGTGGTGGCCCAGGTGGTGGTGCAGACGGTGGTGCAGGTGGTGGTGCAGGTGGTGGTGTATGTGGTAGTGCAGGTGGTGGTGTGACGGTGGTGCAGGTGGTAGTGCAGGTGGTGGTGCAGATGATGAAGCAGAGTGTGCGTATTGATGATAGTGTTGCAAGCGATAGAGCAGGTAGGCAGGGTCCAGTCCGTGTACGTAGAAGGTCTTTATGTGTATGCTATAGTAGATGTTAGAGAAGATGTAAGAGATTGGGTGAGAGGTGAAAAAAGTTCTTTGTGAGTTATCAAGAAATAGAATAGATTAGAAGTGTCGGCGTTGAAGAAATAGGCCCATGGCCTATTATTACTTTCAAATTACTTATTCAAAAAATTACTTCATAAGGGGAAGCTAGGACTATTTGGATAGCAAGGAATATGTCTATGTTCCGCATCCCCCACACTGACAAAAAGGAATAAGATACAACTGATAATAATGGGAGAGAAGGGTATGAGTTGATACATGATGGAGGTGGTGCATGTGTTAATTAGCCACGCTGCTCTGTCAGTGTTGCTGTAAATTGACCAATAATAATAATAAATGAATAATAATTGTAATAATAAATAAATAATAAGTAATAAATTGTTGTAAATAATCCAGTAATGGATGATATCTTGTGACAATCATATATACATAATCGTCCATCATTACATCTCACGCTATCTGTTCATCTCTGTTAAAATTCTTTATTTTACCTTCAAATTACAAATAACGAACAATAATAATAAATTCAACAGCGTGGACAAGCTTTATTAAGCTCATTCCCTATAACCTGACAACCTACAGAAGTTGCCCTTTATCACTAGCCCAATGTATTTTTAAAACTAATCGTTGGTGCATTTGGTCATTTCAGACACTATATATATATATGCCCGTGTAGAAACGCCGAGGCTATTTTCTAATTTTTGATTATTTGGTCATTTTAGACACTATATGCCCATGTGGAAATGCCGAGGCTATTTTTCGATTTTCTGCACTTGTGAGCCAGTAAAAACGTCGCCCAACGTGGGGCTCGAACCCACGACCCCGAGATTAAGAGTCTCGTGCTCTACCGACTGAGCTAGCCGGGCTTAGTGTGAGCAATTTGCTATTCATAACACTATTATAAGCTATATATATTATCTAATTTGCCCCTGGTAATTTCAAACAGCTAAAGATATACAGTATATTGATCTATGAAAATGTCGAGATGCATGTTCCTCATAGATTTTTCATCCTCTTGGATACTCGCATTGATCTCCCTGATTCATCCAAGAATTATGAGTTTATTCTTCAAAAAGTGTGAACAAATAGAAATATTGCCACTTAAGATAATGTTATTCGTGGTATTTATAAATGATTGATATATAGATAAATGCTTGATTATGCGACAGTAGTTCATTTTCTGTATCGTGCTTTTCACTTCCATCTAGGATTTTCGATTGTAATAAATTTCATTTCATAAAATTTTAGAAGTTTGAAAATGATAAGTGTTTTCTAAGAAAGGTATATGGGAACAATTTACTGTCAAAAGTGTGATACCGAAAGAGATATTTGTTCTTATTATTCATGATGAGTATGTAAAAATATCATTGCCTTACCCATCGTATAGGCCTCTGTATGGGAATTTTTAATTTTTTTTTCAAGTATAAGTTCTATTCTTTATTATCCGAAAAATGTGCATTCTGAAACACTAAAAACTTAAATATTATGCACAGAGAATCATTATTATTAATCACATGACCGCGGCATTATCATTTTTCAATTCTGTTTCAACGGATTCACTTTAGAACAATGATATTTGAAAAATAGTACTAATTCCGTTTAATTAACAGGTCAGAAATAACAATTGAACATTGAACACTGAACATACAAGTTACAGGTTTTGCGTTACAAAAATTATTTCTACCACAGTGTGGCGTAACTGCAAGCTGTCAGCCGTAATTTGTTGAAATGATAAGAAAACAACATAAATGATAAGAAAACAACATAAATAACATAAATGATAAGAAAACAACATAAACAACAACATTACCTAGCTTCAAATGTATAGTAGAAGCTCAATACTCGTTACATTTTTTCTCTGAGCTTGAGAACGGAAAACATCGCCGACCAGCCCGCCGAGATTGTCACATGAAACTGCTGAACTTAATTGAATACTAATTTAAATTTCACTTGGTTTGTCATTTATAACAATCGTAATATTTCCTGCACGATTTTTTAATTGAAAAGTACATCATCATGTTGAATTCGTGAGTTTACTCAGACCAATTCTTACGTGATCTTCTCTAAAGATATCTACGTAATGGGATCATTTCAGTGTTTCTTATTTGAATGAATATTTAAAGGTTAAAAAAAAAGATATCAAATTTACGATGTCTTCAAAAAATCCAGACGTGACAAAATCAGTTATTTTTTGAGGATTTTAAATAATGTGAGATTTTGATTCTGAAACTAATTTAAATGAGTTCTAGCACGTGATTGAATGAATTTGTAATCAGGAAAAAAACAGTGGCATTGTTTCTCTTTTATAACAGAATAAAAAAATTTAGATTCGACTCGCCAATATTTTATAAAATTAACTAGGTACCTTCAGTAATTATATCATTAACCTGCTTAAATCACAAGTAAACCAAGAATTTAAAATCACTGAAAACCTAAGGCACATTCACTGTTTTAAATGATAACGGTTCCAATAATTATATGGCGAATTTACTTTCTTTGCTTTTAAACTCTAGGTGAACTTAATCAAGCACTTACAATGGTGTATAATTTCGAACCTTCGAAATGCATTTTTTCTTGGCTATCAGATTCTTTTTTTTTCTTGGCTATCGGATTTATCCATCGCACTTCATTAACTATCTTTTTCATCGCAATTGAGACAATCTGCAAGCATGGAACTCGCCCTTTGTATTGAATTCAATCTCAAAATTATTTAAATTGGCTTCTTCCTGTCTCTACTTCGTTTTTTTCACAACTAAATCAATTGCAAGCTACTAGCCGTCATCCCCCGCGGGAACAAAAACCGATTTATGGAAGAAAAATTATTTCAAGTTAATCAATTTATTTACACGTCATAACAAAGTATGTAGGAAGATGGGTATGACAAAATCGTAACAAAAATAAAGTTGATCCCGTCGCGAGTAAAAAAATTAAACAGGTGGAGGAAGTAATGACTTTTATTCGCTCTTCCAGTCCCAGTCGAAGAGCTCATCAAACTCAGTAGCAATGATGCGTCCATCGTTCTTCTCACTTGAAGTAAAAGCGTCAATTTGGTCGCTTATTTTCGAGCGTGCTGCCGAGAACGGCGGAAACTTATACAGGTCATCAATTGAGTTACCGGTGGAACGCTTGGAACTATAGGAGCTCGACTGGCCGATCGAGTTGGAGGACGGGAATGAATATCCATCGTCAAGAGGCAGAGGGTCACCAATAGGTGGTTTGTACGAGTTACTAGCCTGGCCAGAGAATAAACTACTAACATCACTGTGTGGAGAGTTGAATATTTCGCTAAACGTATCGTCGAAAGGGTTTGTTTGTAGGCTTGCAGAAGAGTCTCCATACGATCCTGCTGAATTGGGCGAGGCCGGTGGTGCTCCATATGATCCTGATGGAGAAGATGTAGGTCCTCCTGGATTTGAGGGTATTCCATATGAACCAGAAGGAGTAGAGGCAGGTCCTATTGAATTTTTATAAGATTCAGAGGGCGCGGTTGCGGATTGCGGTGGAGCACCATAAGAACCTGATGGTTTTGAAGGTCGAGTAGGAGCTTGGTACGATGCAGATGGAGATGATGATGGCTTGGAAGGGGATTGGTACAACCCTGATGGAGCAGGGGCAGGTCGAGCAGGTGTTTGGTATGATCCTGAAGGGCCGGGGGCTGGTCCAGAGGGCGCTTGATACGACCCTGAAGGAGCGGGGGCTGGTCGAGAGGGTGCTTGATACGACCCTGAAGGAGCGGGGGCTGTTCCAGATGGTGCTTGATACGACCCTGAAGGAGCGGGGGCTGGTCGAGAGGGTGCTTGATACGACCCTGGAGGAGCGGGGGCTGGTCGAGAGGGTGCTTGATACGACCCCGAAGGAGCGGGGGCTGGTCGAAAGGGTGCTTGATACGACCCTGAAGGAGCGGGGGCTGTTCCAGATGGTGCTTGATACGACCCTGAAGGAGCGGGAGCTGGTCGAGAGGGTGTTTGATACGAGCCTGAAGATGCAGGAGCAGGTCGAGAGGTCTGGTCGTTTTCGTAAGATTGAAATCCCGTTGAAGAAAAATCTTCAAAAATCGAGTTAAAATCCGGAAAAGACGGTTGATCGAAGGATGAAAACGAAAAACCTCCTCCTGCTTTAGTATTACTACTTTTCTCACTGCTGCCTGGATTGTATGGAGATCCCGAGTTGGTGATGGAGTTGTCTTTGGGCGGCCCATAGTCCTGGCCTGGAGCAGATGGAGCACTGTATGATGGGCTGGGACTAGGAGCAGACGGAGAGTCGTAAGTTAATGTAAGACTGGGAGCAGGATTGGAAGGTGTACCGTAAGATGGGCTTGGAGCAGCAGGAGGCGATCCATAATATGAACTTGTAGCAGCGGGAGGTGATCCATAAGATGGACTTGGAGCAGCAGGAGGTGACTCATAAGACGGGCTTGGAGTAGCAGGAGGCGACCCATAAGACGGACTTGGAGCAGCAGGAGGTGACCCATAAGACGGACTTGGAGAAGAAGGCGGTGACCCATAAGACGGACTTGGAGCAGCAGGAGGTGATCCATAAGACGGGCTTGGAGCAACAGGAGGCGACCCATAAGACGGGCTGGGAGCAGCAGGCGGTGACCCATAAGATGGACTTGGAGCAGTAGGCGGTGACCCATAAGACGGGCTTGGAGCAGCAGGAGGTGACACATAAGACGGGCTTGGAGCAACAGGCGGTGACCCATAAGATGGACTTGGAGCAGCAGGAGGTGACCCATAAGACGGGCTTGGAGCAGCAGGAGGCGACCCATAAGACGGGCTTGGAGCAGCAGGAGGTGACCCATAAGACGGGCTTGGAGCAGCAGGAGGCGATCCATAAGACGGGCTCGGAGCTTTAGGCGGTGCTCCATACGAAGGCTTTGGAGGCGCTCCATAAGATGGTTTTGGAGTAGCCGGTGGCGCTCCATATGAAGGCTTTGGAGGCGCTCCATAGGATGGTTTCGGAGCTTTAGGCGGTGCTCCGTACGAAGGCTTAGGTGGTGCTCCATAAGATGGTTTTGGAGCTTTAGGTGGTGCTCCATATGAAGGCTTTGGTGGTGCTCCATAAGATGGTTTCGGAGCTTTAGGCGGTGCTCCATATGAAGGCTTCGGAGGCGCTCCATAAGCTCCCTGAGGGCGTCGCTGAGGGCGGCTTGGCAACTTCTGGCGCGGTCTCGAGGTGCGCGTGAACGGCCACAGCGCCTCCTGCAGAGTCTGCTGCGCCAGCAGCGCCAGCACCAGAACCAGCGCTGCTGCCCTCTGCAATAGTGCCATGTATTAGTAGGAGCAAGTGTAGTGGAGTGTCATGTATTAGTAAGAGCAAGTGTAGTGGAGTGTCTTGTATTAGTAGGAGCAAGTGTAGTGGAGTGTCATGTATTAGTAGGAGCAAGTGTAGTGGAGTGTCATGTATTGTTAGAGGCAAGTACATGTAATTATTCGTCACGTATATGCAATGTTGCGAAATGTATTATTAGAATTCTATAGAATTATTAACGCCTACCGATGAGGATAGTTGGGAATATTGTGTTTCTGTGTTTCATTGCTGTGAACAATGGAGTCTCTAAATGGTAAAATGATCTAATTACCTGAAAACTGTTTACGTATATACTGAATGGAAGAAATGATGATGAAATAATGGACAGCCCATTGAGTTTTAATCCCTAAGCGTACAGCTGTACATATCTGTCGCATTTCATATGGACTATTTTTGTTTATATGTGAAGCTCATTCATCAAATTGAACAAATGTATTGCTTATAATTTCAGGCTGAGCTATGCAAAGTTAGAGGTTTTTCACAAATCAGGTTATTTTGAATGAATAAATTTCGGCAACGTGGCATTTAAATGGACACACAATTATTTCATAAGCACACCTTTCAATAAATTTATTTTTTATTTTTTGGGGTTTCTTGGCATCTATCAGAAGAAGTACCAAAGTCGAAATGATTCAAATCTTTTTTTATTGATAAGGTATAATTTAGAAATATGGCAGCACCGTTTATTGTAAACAAGTCTGCACACGACGCCGACTAAATATTACATTACTGATGAAGTTAAGGCGCTACTTTCGAACGCTGTTAGCCCGTTAGAACTCATCATTCCTTGGTTCACCTACATGGTTTCCCAAGTGGGCGGACGTCAATATGTTTTTAAGAGACTGCGCGGTTGAATTTAAAAAAAAAAAACTTGTTTAGCTTAAACCTCCCAAACATGCATGCATGGTTGAATTAATACATGTAATAATTCATTATACATGTATTAATTCATTCATTATACGTGTATGAATCAATACATATATTAATTCAACCATGCCTGAATGAACCTATACATGAGATCCTTGTAATAGGAAAGTTTGTGCTTCAAAATATTTTCTTTGTTGATGCAACTCTACTCTCAAAGAAAGTTTCTGTATGACATACTACTGTAAGTTTATTGATCAAGACCGAATTCAATGAAGCTTCCTAACTAATGAAGTATTACCTACTACAGAAATAAGATTATAAGAGCGATTGATTATACCATAGTTTTTTTTTAGTTTTCACATAACTAATGATATATTTTAGGTTCACCTTGTTAGATTCGTTTGTCGTATGATCCCGAAATAGCAAATGAAATTCAAGCAAATTTTGTTAGCCGTTCCCCGAATTAATGAAACGTGGCTATGCTGAACACCTGAACCTTATGAACAGTTTTTTACCTAATTTATTGATCTCGGAGAAATAAATGAATTTAGTATCACTTGTTCTGACGCCCAGGATTGTGCCCACAGTAAAATTTGAAACAGGTATCCAACGGGAATAAAAAAAATTTTACAGTAAATAATCTTAGTTTTGCATAATGAATGTTGAATGGATATATTTATCAAATATTTGTATCAGAGCGGGAACAGTAATGGGTGCAGAATACTAACTGTTCATTTAATATATTGGATCAATGTGCAGCCCTCAAATGGGATCTAATCTGAAGTTCTTTGAAATACTGAAGTGTAATTCTCGTTACCTAAATAAAATAACTTTATTTTAAGAAAAATATAATATTTGTTTGTTATGAATGAAAATTTACTGCTCCTCAATTATGGCTAAGGTATGAACAGTTTATTAATTCGAATAAAATCGTTATATTATTATTTAGCGCCGCCCATATAAATCGCTTCTTAATTTATTTCAAAACTAAATTTCGCAACAAATTTGGCGCGATTCATTTGCACTGGTGCTTCCCTTTGATAACCGGATATCTACAGAAAGAAATAATTGGATGCAATTGTCTGAGTACAAAAAGGTGTTGGAGTTTCAAGTAACTAGGTCAGTTATTTTCCAATACTGAGACTTATAATTACTAGGTGAGGCTCGTCATAGGCGTTGCGTGCCTGCGGTTGCCGCTACGCGAGCTTCCGCTGGCAGAAGATTCTCGGACACAATTGGCAAACATCGTCACGTGGAGACGTTCTAACGCCACGCTAATTGTTGAGAAGATATAGTCGTGCAACAGCTCTTGCAAATGAGCTCATGCACAATGACTTGCTGATCAGCGTATGAATATTCACGAGTCGTCATGATTGCCATAGAAACTTGCAGTCACGGCACTCTGATCGACCAGCACGCAAGTATCTTCGTCGTCTAGAGAAATGGTGATTGCAGAGCCTCGGCAATAAATCACATGATTAAGACTGTATGGCCTCTTATCAACAATGCTGATGAGCTCAAAACTGCCTGAGGAATAATGCTTCTCAGACGAGGTTCAAAATCATACAATGCTGGTGAAGTACTTCAATTCTGTTACACGTTATATACGACATCTCAAGGAGACAGAAAATTCGTTTCCTAGTGTTTCATGTTGAGGCCTAGTCAGCCCATAAGATTAATATCCATAACGTAGCCGTAGCCATAACGTAACGTACGTAGCCATAACTTTCCCAGCGAGTAAAAGCAAGGAGGGTCTATCTGAGGTAATGTCAGTGATGCAACAAAACATGTCCTTCATTCATGGCGATCATAGCGGAAGGAGTTTCTTTGAATGTGCTATTTACTGTCCATTTACTCTCGTTCACGTCATTTATCAACTCTTAGTTCATCTCCTATCAAAGCTAAGGTAATTACCACCATTGCAGTGTCGCTAAATTGTATCAGCTGTTGGAACTGAAGGTGCAAATAAATGTCGTCTGCACGTTGCATTCTTCGCACGGTCAATATTGCCCGAAAGTGTTATCAGTATAGGTATAAATTGTATAGGTAATTTTAAAAAAAATTAATTGTCGTTATAAATTAAATTTTAGCAGATATATATAAACTAAAATTGTTAAGTAATTTTAATGTCTTTAAAAATATGAAATAAATCACTGATATTATAATGATTAAAATTACTGATATATAAAAACTTCATCGATTATAATAACAATTGTCGTAAATCTCCAGTGACAAGTTTTATACCACGGACCATCGATGGAGTCATCCGATTTATGCATATTTTGTCGTATTCGTCTCACTTGACTGCTCCGCAGCTGCAAATTATTCAAATAATGACTGAATTGACAATTTTACTTCCAACTTCGTCCTCAATATTTTCTTACAGATTGCCGATTTCTGTTCAAAAAATGTGCCTGATTAAGAACAAATTTAATAACAAATGGCGCTTGATATTTTGTCCTATTCCTCTCCCTTGACCGCACCGCAGCTACAAATTATTTGAATAATGACTGAATTGACAATTTTACTTCCAACTTCATCATCAGTATTTTCATGGTAAGCGTCGACCATATAAGCTTCGGCAACGCGGACCACATGTGGAGGAAAGCGCTGTCATCTGTTCACTCACAGCCGTTTGCTCGACTTTCCTGGCAAAAACTCAACTCGCTCTCTTTTAAATAACGTGGGGATTAATGAGCGTCACCACGATTATACGAGGCATATGTCGCACGCAAAGATAACAGGAAACGAACTTTCTCGAGCATAGCTCATAGATGAAAGTAAACAGCAGATATTGCACAACCGTGACCATTAGGCCTGTCATGTTTCTTGCGCAATAAAAATGTTATTTATTCACTATTTAGAATTATCAATGTGAAAGGAATTGTATTATAATAAATGAACTGATATGCTCTCACGTGGCCTGGATTAGCACATACGTGGTTTTCTGGCAACAAAAAGTTCGAAAAATAATTAGGATCAAATGCCTTCCCTTGCACAAAAAAAAAAAAATATAACTCAGCACTCACTGCAGTGAGTGACAGAGAGCGCATTTTCTCCTCGACGAAAACGTGAAGTCATGGACGGACAGACAGACAGACGGACGGACTGACGGACGGACATGGCGAGCACAATAGTGCATTTTTTCCATAAATGAGAAAATGCGGTAAAAAGCTAAAATATGTTGCACTGCTGAATGAGCCTCAAAAACAATAATTTAGATTGCGCATTATAGTTAATGGAAGAATGGATGCATTAAAAACTGAAGTTGTACATTAGAAGTGAGAACGAAAGTTTTGCCTAATCCCCAATTAAACTGCAATCTCTTTCACTTACAAATGCGAAGAAGCTCAACAGAAGAAGCTCAACATTTCAGTCACGCTATATATACTGTGCAAGGCCTGTGATTATTTCCCGCCATCAGTGATCTGGGACCATACTTTCAAAAAAAGTTAAGAGATCGTAAGTTCATGAGCCAATCATTGACGGCCTTTCAAGCAAAATCCACCAATCATAGACAAGAAAATAGAGCGTAAGTACTTACGTTCACTTAGCGAGTTTTGAAAGTATGGCCCCTGAGCTTTGACTTATCAATTGAACGCATCGCGCTCGAGTGATGCCAGGTCATAATGTGCGTCAGGACGTGTCGAGAGCAGGAATGACATCGCCATCTTATAATCATCTCATGTTTGTAAGAGATTATCTGCATCATAGAAAAAATATAACTCAGTACTCACTGCAGTAAGTGACAGAGAGCGCATTTTCTCGTCCACGAAAACTTGAGGTCGCGGACGGACGGACAGACGGACATGGCGAGCACAATAGTGCATTTTTTCCATAAATGAGAAAATGCGCTAAAAAGCGGATGATTGCTCGAATATATTCTCCGAGTTAATGTCAATTCAAACGAATTTTACGTTCATTTATTGAACGAATTTTCAATAAAAGATAACTCGTGTAATACCATCTCTAAGATGAAAATTTAAGAGTTTTGAAAAGAAAAAGGGGAAAAGGTATTTGAATTTTATATTGTCAGATTATTTTTACGACTGAAGTAATAAAGATAAAAATTATACATGCCAAGTTATACGTTTTCCGAAAATGAAAGCCTATATCTTGACTCGTCACTTGAATATTTTCCCATTGCCGTAAAACTATTAAGAGTCAAACCCACAACGTTCGTTCGATGCAGCACGGTTAAGTTAAGTGAACATTTTTGTCTAACGAGCTTCTGGTTAAAGTCTCATTAAATTTACGCTAATGAGTGAGGCACAGAGCGAGTAATTTTACGGCCGAACAATCGGTTTGTAAGAGCACCCGTATTAGTAAAATCGAAATTAGAAATTTTTGGAGCTAAGGATTTTTTTATGCTTAAGTGTTCTTTCTTTGACTTTGGAATGATTGTCCTTCAAAAACCTCTTGAATATGCATTTCCTGATCACTATCGAAGCTACCTATTGACTATTGTCACCGGTGACTCAATGAATAGTATTCTTTGAAATTATTGACATTTACACAATTACGAAAAAATAACCTATTTCGCTCATGCAGGGGTTTCGTTGGCCCTTTGATGCACTTGAATTTTCATCTAATTTACAAAAGACCAAAAACTCTTGTTCACCACCATGCCCGTGTTTAGGAACGTCATCTATTGAAGTATGTAACTTGTAAGAGATTGTCACCGCGCTACACGTATTAGAAATGAAAATCTGACGCGACTGTAGTTGAATACGTAAAATTAGGGACATTTTAAATTACTGTAACTGGTGAGTGATGATATTACTACAGTGGTAATAAAATCATTACTCAGACAAATCCGGTTACTCTTATGGTAAAAAACAGAAAACGAATATTATGTACTAACCAGATTTTAATCCTATGGCAGCGAACTGAGAACACCTTCTGATGAGATTACTCCTATGACTATAAATATGATAATCTTCCTAATGACATTCATCCTATGGTAATTGACAGATCACGTCATTTGAAGAGATTACCATGGCGATAAAGAGAAGACGCTTATTGATGAAATCGCTCTTTGGTAATCAACGGAAAACTCCCATTGATGAAATTACTCCTAGAATTACAGCAAGGGCGTTACAATTTGTACATCCGAACCCAATTTGCCTGACCATGAATCAGATGACATAACAGTTAGTGCAACTGCGCATGCACGCATGAAGATCTCCACATGCAACGCTGGATTGCAACCTCTGGAGGAAGACGAGCGTGTGTATCAGCCTCAGGCCAGTGCGTGCATATGGAGTGGCCTTACTTGTGCAGCGTAGACATGCATCACGAGACTCGCACTGTACGGTACCTCCATAGTAATACTTAACTCATTAACTTATATCCCTCACTACAGTCAGGCATGACACTAACCATCACTTTAAAAGGTCATCCATATAATGATTTATTGGGGACTGTATGCATCAGACCAGCGCGTGCATATGGAGAGGCCTTACTTGTGCAGCGTAGACATGCATCACGAGACTCGCACTGTACGGACCTCTACGGTAACATTTAACTCGTTAACTTATCCCTCACTACAGTTAGGCATGACACTAACCGTCACTTTAAAAGGTCATCCATATAATGATTTATTGGGGACTGTAATGGTAGCACGATTATTTCATTAGTTCCGGAATGAATGATATTTTTTCGAAGAAAGAACGTGCCAGATAAATAATTGTTTGCAAATAATTCTACGTTGCGGGTAATAAAAAATATATTTATAGTTTGGTAAAATTGTGTCATCGGAAAATTTAACAGTTTTAGGGGAAATTATAAACATTTTTCTATTATAAATGTTTATCATGATCATATAAATGTTTTATGCCATTTATTCATAATAAATGTTTTAAATTAAACTTTGAATACATTCAGGGTAGATATCCCAAGTGAGCAAGCCTCGAAAATGACTGTTGACGATAATTGACAACTTAAGTTAATAATATAATGACATTATTAACTTAATAATATAATGATGAATAAATTTAAGGATAATCGGAACGTATTTGGGTTTATTGAAAACTTTTCACCAAATTAATTTACTCTTAAAAATGAGTACTATACGTCTTGATGAACGTGTCCTTGATGACAACTGAGTCTATAGCCTCTATTTCACTTCACAATCACTTGCGCATCACCTGAGACAAAATATTTATTCTGCGGAACTTTACTGAAATAGAACAAATCCAAATAGAAAATTGACGATGTCATTAGATATAACATCAATAACAAGGAAATTTCCTCAAAATTTGTCCATAAATTAGAGAGATATTATGGAGCTGCGGTTACTTATTATTTAGAAATAATTCTTAATTTTAACGCCGGCTATGTTCTCACCTTTTGATCAGGCCACTTCATACTGGCGCGGCAGACGACCGTTGAATTACCGGTTTCTTCTGCTACTAGACTTCAAATTTTTGAAAATATTGAATATGATTTAAACTGCCATGTTATAAACTAAACGCTTCCTGTACAGCTTAAGGTCTGCTTTCAAACTTTGAGGACAATAACGGAACTTTAATTTACCAGTCGGACTAAGAAGTCAAGTTACTTATCTTCGCGTATTTTGAATTGCTAGATTTACGATTTGTCAAATGTCGGGAATCCTGTTTGAGACATTAATGAGTTACAATTGCTTGAAATATATTCAAAACGTAATGAAAATTTAGGGGCAATATAGATTACCGTTAGCTTAAATAAATTCCTGCATGATCGAATTAGAACTCATGAGTTGCCTTTACTTCATATTCGTTGAAATTTATATCGAAAGCATGTGATAAAAATTCAATTTGATTGATATTTTTGATGTCAGAAAAGTTAAACCAGCTGGTTCTTATTTTTCTGGAATCACTAACTGAACCAATTTAAGCATACAAATTTCTTCTCGCGTATTTTTGCCTTCGAAGCATGAAACAGGGGATTGCACTGGCGCAAATTTCTTATTTTACTGCGAGTAAGAAACCTCCTCGGTAGCCTGTACTGTACTCTGACCACCTGGACAGACAGCGTACGTCTGAGTGACGTTCCTGCCAGGCGTCGCGCTTCTTATAGGCTCACGACGCAAGCGACTGCCGCAAGCACATGCCGTGTCCGTGAGCTGTATAAGCAGTGATAATATGCTTCGTGACAGCTCTGACGACTAGTCCTTGATAAAAAGTGCATTTTTTTTGCAATAATAATTTCAATATCACTTGAGAATGTGAGCAGAGACTCTTCATTTATGTTTGCATGAGCGCTATTACATGTCAGGCCTTTCGTGATTGTAATGTTAACAATTGTTGAGTTTATCGCAATTTCCGGATAGTATCATATACTTTCGGACGTCAATGCCGGGCTGTAATTTTTTTTTATTTCATCGGCACCTTATTTTTCTGACAACTGCGCAGTGTGCACTGTGCAGCCTCCAAAAGAAAGTAACTTTTGTATGTACTCGGTCATAAATATGGAGCACTCCTTATTGTAAAAGTTATTGACCTCTGATTTATATTGATTAACATTAATAACATAACATAACATATTGATCTCGGCGCTGAAGTGTAGGCCTGATGTGTCCTGTCGCCGATTCTATTCCTTTTCGCGCCTTGTTCACAGAATACCTAATATCGTTTCATTTGACCGGACCTCTTCATGACTGACGATTCATTATTTCTTCAGGAAAAGTCAAATTTATTGCAAGGTGAGGTTAGGTAATATTCATTACATTTTTTGATTGTTTGCAGTTTGAAGGATGAAGCTTTACCTACAACGGATGCCTGGATTTGATTGGGGTTTAAAGCTCAAGGCCCAACTAGCATTATTCATAAAAAAAATAAAACGTATTCGGGCAGGATGACCTAGTGGTTACCGTTCAGAGTTACAAGACTGGAGCAAAGAGTTGCGGTTCGATCCCAGCTAACTGCTACAGTTCTGGTCAAATAAGCGACGATGCCTTATGGTTAAGCACAGCAAAATTGAGGCAGTGAGTTGAGTGTTTGAGACTGCAACAAGCTGTAAATATTCTGCGATGTTAAGAATCGGCGACCGGGCTAACGCCTAATCAACGCTTACACAGCTATACTAGAGTAATCTCTTCAAAGCGAAAATTAATGATCTACAGTAATGATCTGAGCACAATCATTAGGAAATCTTCGTTATTGAAAGCGAAGCCTCAGGTTTGAGTGAGTCAGAAAGTCGAACAGTTCCAGTTGATAGACTTTTGAGGGAGTGAGAGTGATCGCAACTAGCATGTTTAAGTGAGATGTAACTCATTAAGTTTCCTAGAAACTCGCCTTGAATAGACTTGAGCTTGAATGTTTATCAAAAAAGTATTCGTTTTGTGTCCTCTGAACCTTAGTTCTGTTAAAGGTTTTCATGGCAGAGATATTGTAAATTTTGTAACTCTCATTATACTTTTTTTATTGGATTAAACTCTCATAATATGATTGCTCCATTAAATGTAATTTTTATTACGAAGTTTAATTTTTGCAAATTTGCGCGGTATACTATAAGATGAGATAAAATATTTACATGTGTTTTTTATTCTGGAATGATTTTTGTACTAATGGAGTTTCATTCTGATAATTCGATTGCAATGTAAAATCCAGTGTTTGATTCCAGAGAAGTACTCATTGAGTCATTGAATACACGAATCATAAATACAAATTTATTTTGAAAATTAAGTAATTATTCACGTGTCTGCATAAGTATATTTGTTCTTCAATCATTGAAAAGAGATTTAGTTTGAAGCTGTTTCTTACTAATAGTAAAGCGTATGCAGGCTAGTGGCCGATTCGCGCTACTAGGATGGAGGTATAAGTTGACGCTTCTTGATTATATGTATTGAAACCATGCATGAATACAGTATAGTTACAAGTTATACATATACATGAAATAAACAATTCAAATGGTCATATTAATCGGAATCAGATTATAAATAAGGAAAGTATATAAAAGCCTAATCGTGGCAGTACTTACTCTAATGAGAGGTTTCTGAGCAACCATGCATAAACACAGAAGGTCGGTACGAAGTAAACAAAATGCTGCGTTCCCGATTGAGACATTCACGTTTCTAGCGATAAATCTAATTTTTACATTTGGTTTTAACAGGAATTATTGCACAATTATTAATTACATGTAGACGCTACAATAGTTTAGTTGGCAATGTTCATAGTTCTTATATAATAGCGGTTTCAGCGTTTTATTAGGCCGTAGGCCTGTCGCCGATTCTGAACATCGCAGAACATTCACAGCATTTTGCAGGCTTGAACTCGCAACTCACTGCTACAATTCTGCTGTGCTTAACAAGTTAACCGCCCGGCCTCCTCGCCGATTCTGACCAGAAACTGGCGCACAGAGCTGGGATCGAACCCGCGCCTCTCTGCGCCAATCTTGGTACTCTGAACTTTAACCACTAGGCCACCCTAGTGGTTATAGAAAATATTTCAATATATTCATCCGCATGACATTGCCTTGACACCGTTATTTGCTGTTAGCAGCTCGATTTTGACTACTGAATTTGTTCTCTTATACTCATTGAAATCACGATCCATGGATACGAATTTACTTTGCAAATTTAAATAATTATTCATGTGGTGTATATGTTTCATTGTAACAATTTTTTTTTCTTTTCGAACGGAATTTGTATTTGATGATGATCCGCGTATGCACGAAGTGAGGTCGACGAGTTCACATCTTCTATATCTTAATGCGGATGAAGCACTAGAGGTGCATGTCCGCATGTAGTCGTAGTTCGTATAGCTGACGCCGCCTGGGTTGAACTGACCTCTCGTCTCAGTACCTACAAGGCTACACGACTTGTAGTTCCGGTGACCGGTAAGGGCCGAGAATTTATAAGCTTTGAAATCAATGATTATTTTATTTACACAACTGGGCAAGGTGGCCCAGTGGTGAGTGGTGGGCAAGGTGGCCCAGTGGAGCAGTGGTTACAGTTCAGAGTACCAGGATTGGTGCAGAGAGGCACGGGTTCGATCCCAGCTCTGTGCGCCAGTTTCTGGTCAGAATCGGCAAGGAGGCCGGGCAGTTAAGCACAGCAGAATTGAAGCAGTGAGTTGCGAGTTCGAGACCGCAAAATGCTGTGAATGTTCTGCGATGTTAAGAATCGGCGACAGGCCTACGGGCTACGGCCTAATAACGCTGAAACCGCTAATCCGCTATTATTATTATTATTTACTAATAGATTTATTGACATGATATTACTTACTCTTGGATTGGTTTCATTTTGAAAAGTAAAATTTTGAATGAAAAATATGCAGTTGATAACTTCATTAACTTGATAGCCTAGTGCTTAATCCAGATTAGGTATATTTTTGAGCATATTATCACAGATAGTCTGTAATAATGGCCTAATAGCATAATTTTTTAAGCATGGTGTGTTCAGGGCTGGAAAAGTCCTATTTTTTTCTGAAATATTGAGGCTCTAATATCGTATAGCAGTATAGCCCTACCTAATTACAGTAGGTATGAAATCTCGCAGCTCTAATTTCATGTATTCATGTTTGATTGAAAAAAATGCTGTTTGTACTCCGCAAACATGTCATTTCATAAAATTTTCAGCTTCCGCAATCTGCACTAATAAATCACTATTTCAACAATCCTGCCAAAATATCCTGCACAACAAAACAACAAGTCAACATAAAATATTTCCTCATAGATAATTGTGTAGTTGTGGCCATGTCAGAGCAGTCAGACTGCAATGCAGTCTGACTAATGACCATAAATACCTTTCAGGTGTTCAGTTGCTACCCATGGTCAGGAAGGTGCAGCGTGTACGCCGGAGGTTCGTTTTCGGATGTACGCCAGTACGCCAGGAAAGAAAGTTGCCAATATGCTTGCTAAAAACGGAAGTGTAACCCTCACCAATGCTGCATGATCGACACAGGCACATGTACTTTACGATTGATGCCTGGCGATCGTCACAAACACACTGGCAAGCCAGATGCGGACGTACGGTACGTCAGGACAAGCCAGATCACCCAGATGCAAACGTACACCAAGGCAAGCCAGATGCGGACGTACGGTACATCAGGACAAGCCAGATCGCCCAGATGCAGACGTACGTCGAGGTCGAGACAAGCCAGATGCGGACGTACGGTACGTCAGGACAAGCCAGATCGCCCAGATGCAGACGTACGTCGAGGTCGAGACAAGCCAGATGCGGACGTACGCCGGGCGTGTGCGCCAATAACGTTATTTTAGCTCTTTGTACGCCGCGTTGTACGCCAGTAGAAGGGCTTGGAGTCTCGTTTACGCCGGATTAATCCGCGGAAAACGGCACCATCCTGGGTATGGGTTGCTACTCAAGTGAAGGCAAATGTTCGTGTAATAGTGTTGACTGTTTTAAGGGTAAAATTAGAGATTAGGGTAACACATGCACGGGACTTTTTACACATGTAAAAAGTTAGTTGACGCCGGCTTGCAAATGGCTTTTAATGACTGAGATATGGAATTCAAGGCTGGAAGAAATTAAATATTGGGTGGCAAATCCAAAAATTCATTTGTGACTTGCCAAGCAGGGCTGGAAAAGTCCTATTTTTGTCTGAAATATCACGGCTCTAATTGACTAATATTGTATAATTTCGGTGGGTATGAAATCTCGCGGCTCAAATGTCATAAATTTTTGTTTGATTGAAAAATCAGGGTTTGCACTTTGCAAACATGTCATTTGATAAAATTTTCAACTTCTGCAATCCGCATTGCTTTACCATTCCCGCCAAAATATCCTGCAGAAAAAACATAAACATCGTAATGTAAACAAATCAACTAAAAGTTTTTTTAAAGATTTCGCAAAGTTGTGGTTATGTCAAGGCGGTCAGACTGCATTAACGCGTGCTCAACTTACAGTAAAGACAAATTTTATTGTTGTCGTTTGACTGTTCTAGGGTAAAATTAGAGATTTGGGGTAACACATGCATGGACTTTGTAAATAAATTTGCACCTCATAAATGGCTTTTCATGGCCGGGATATGGAATTCACGGCTCGAAAAAATGGAATCACGGCTGGCAAATCCATAGAACCATGGCTCATAAAATTCAGTCGAGGCTTGCCAAGTAGATATATTCCATGCCTGTCGCCAAGTAGATATATTCCATGCCTGGGTGCATTGGTGCCATAATTTGGGATTGGAATTTTCATGCTTGTTTCTGAAATTTTGTGGCTCCAATGTGACAAATTTTTAATACAATTGGAATCTTGTGGCCCAATCATGCACTTTCGTTGACAATTAGAAAGGTGATAATTATCCTGGCAGAAATCTCGCGGTTCTAGAAATGGCGGGAAAGCTCTAGTCTTTGTACACATATATTATTTGATTTAAATATTTAAACTAGAATTTATTTTTATTTTTAGTCAATATTTGAAACTGGATCAAAGGCTGGATCGATCTTGAATTTATGAACTGGTATTCCTAGCATGTCATCTTGTTTATGATCATGTGTATTTTTGTCTCAGTCAAGAGTCGCTTCTGCCCAATTTTCCAGTTTTGACTTCATTCCTCCCAACAAGCTGTCTGACATGACTAAAACTAAAAAATCAATCAGACCACTGATGGAAATGTTTTGGATAGATATTTGGCTGGAGGTGGGTGGCAGAAATGAAGTTATGCCACTACGCATAGTTGCAAAATTTTTCTTAGGAACCAGCTCATTTAAAAGCCCCTAATCTAGTTCGAAGTTTTATTTAATACCTACATATTGCTGGCATGCATGATACTTACTGGTCTACTCCAAGTCTGGGATTTTCCTACTTATAACTGAAAAAACATGGCCTGATCATGCACTTTTGTTAGCAATTTGTAGGAGATTTATAATTCATTTTATTGGAATCTTGCAGCTGGGAAAGCTTTAGGCACTACACAGAAGCTAAATATATTCTGTGCCTGGTCTACTTATAGGACTCATAAATGAAGAACTTTGCTTTGCCACCATGCAGTTATGAGACTTTTAATGAAAGCAGTTGTGATAAAGTTTTTTTGTTGTTTTTGACAAAGTTTTTTTGGAGCCAAGCCTTTTGAAAATACATGGCTTAGGAGCCACGAGATTTCCAATTCAATATAGAAGGTTCTAATCTATTAACAATGCCATGATTTTTAGTCACATTAACTTTCTTTATTCAAAAATATTTGCACTGAGTAGAAAGTTTGGCATGCTAGCTAATGTGTAGTAAGTACATATTTACTCCACTGTTATTATATGCTAATAAATTTGCTTATGTTTTTTCCCAACTTTCCTATGGTTATTTGTAACAAATTTAATTGAATTATTTGGTATACAGTTGCTGAAGATTCTGATCAATTTTTTCTTAACTATGTTATGTGCACATTGCTAATTAGAGCCTCTTGCCTGCTGTACAGGCATGAGGTCTAAACAATGCAGACAAAAACTCTGATGAACTTGAAAACAATGAATGAAGAATCTATTGAGTAGTACCATTTTTTGAATTTCTAAAGTTTTTGAAATGTAAGTGGAACCTCTAACTCTTCAACCTTTACCCTATCTTGCTAGAAACTACTAAGCTTTGTGAAACCTCCAGCAATTTCAATGAAAACACTGCTTGTAAAAATTTATGCTTTTTAGCGCATTTTCTCATTTATGGAAAAAATGCACTATTGTACTCGCCATGTCCGTCCGTCTGTCTGTCTGTCCGTGACCTCAAGTTTTCGTCGATGAGAAAATGTGCTCTCTGTCAGTCACTGCAGTGAGTACTGAGTTATATTTTTTCAGGTCTAAGTCCTTTATGAACTTCTTTTATACCTATTTATATATGAAGACAACTTCTGAGGGTACTCAGTTACAGTTTATCTCAGATTTTCCTTATATAATTCCTCAATTCTTCATAATTGGAACAAGGAAAAGTTTGAGTGAGTTACATTTTTTTGTGAATTCTAGTCACAACTGATGTTAAAAAAAAAAGTTGACAATTCAATGCACCAATAGTTTCTATCATTGCATTTCTCCATACCTCCTGGCTTTTTTTTATTGAAATTCCAATTTTTTTTTATTCTCACAATTAAATTTTATTATGTACCACCATTCATGAGCTCTTAGCTTGTGTTGACAGTTTCTTGTGTTGCAGGTGTTTGCATGCCATCATGCCTACCAGTGACAAAACATCAAGGGAAGTAGAACAAGGAGGCAACAATAACCCTGCGGAGTCAACGAGCAGAGGTTGCGTGAGCGTCGTCGTGGTCGGTGATGTCGGCCACTCCCCCCGCATGGCTTATCATGCGCTATCCTTTGCTCAAGAAAATTATGATGTAAATTTAGTGGGGTACATGGGCTCTCGACCTCAAGAAGAGTTGCTGAGCCATCCCAAAATTTCAATTGTTCCTTTGAGGAAAGTTCCTTCCTGCCTCAACAGTTTGCCAAATCTGATTAGGTTTGTTTTTCGTGTTTTATGGCAAGCTTTCTCGTTGTGGTTCACACTTTTATTATCAAAGCGTCCGCAATATCTGATGCTACAAAACCCTCCTTGTGTGCCTGCTCTGCCTGTATGCTGGCTCTACTGCCTCATTTTTCGTGTGCGTCTTATATTGGACTGGCATAATTATGGCTACAGTATCCTCGCTTTGACATTAGGACAAAGACATCCGCTTGTGCACGTTTATAAAACAATTGAGAAAGTTTTCGGCAGAATGGCGTCTGCCGGGCTGTGCGTGAGCCGTGCCATGAAGGACGATCTCAAGAGGAGCTGGGGCGTGGATCACATTACTGTTCACTACGATAGACCCCCATTGCGTTTCCAGCCAATATCTGTTGAGGCCAAACACGATCTCTTCCTTAAGCTATCATCTCAACTGCCGTGCTTTAGTGGCAGCGCTCCAGATAAAACAGTCTTCACTGAACGTTTCGCGGACGGTCGCGTTTCTCATAGTGAAGACCGACCGGCTCTGCTAGTTTCATCCACGAGCTGGACAGAAGATGAAGACTTTTCTGTTTTATTACGCGCCCTCACTGCTTATGAGGACCGCGCCTCACTCAAGCCTGAGCAATACCCGCGCCTCATTGTTGTTGTTACCGGAAAAGGGCCCTTAAAGGACTACTACTTAAACCTGGCACGGCGATGTGATTGGCAAACTGTGCAGTTGGAAACGGTGTGGCTTGAGCCCGAAGATTATCCACGACTGCTTGCAGCTGCTGACGTTGGCCTCAGTCTGCACACCTCAAGTTCGGGCTTTGATTTACCCATGAAGGTTGTGGATATGTTTGGTTGTGGCTTGCCAGTCATTGCTCAGTACTACCCTACCATCGAGGAGCTCGTCAAACCAAACATTAACGGTGTGACTTTCAAGAATGACGAAGAACTTGCTGATCGTCTTCTCTCTTGGTTTAGAGGATTCCCTCACAGTGAAAGTCACCAGAAACGACGTGCTGCCATGCTAGAAAACATCGAACACTTTAGGCGACTTCGCTGGCACGAGTGCTGGCAGTGCAACGTGATGCCGCTCTTCAGCGACCGCTGCTCCTTGCCTCCAGAGCGTCCTGAGTAGTTAGGCGATCATTGGAGGTTCTTCATCAAATATCTAACGGTAGCATAAACTTACCTTTCTTTGTATTGGATTTTTATCTACTTACAACTCTGATATATTCAAATTCTGCTGCTAATTTTGTATGAAAATTTAATATCGGAGCACTGGCCGAATTTTACTGGCGTTTCTTGGAGTAATTCTTGTGTCAGTCTATCGAAAAATTGAAATTATTTGTAACGAATTCAAGTCTGGATGTCATCACCACGGAATGTTTGCAGTGAAAAACGTAACGTGCTGTCTAAAGACATTCGAAGCTGAAGCCTTCTGAGGAGAGATTGTGGACGTGAATCATTTTTCCTTCACGACTTTATTTTGTGAACTAAACTCAATCTTGAGGGTTCGTTGATGACAGAATAAAGGAGGACTCTGTATTGGTGTCTTTATAGTCTGCGGTGTTTGTTATTTGTGTTGTTGAATTTTTTGTTTCACATCTCTTTATTTTTGCTTTGATTTTAAGGAGCACATAAGTAGATACGACAGAACTTCTGAAGGTCTGAGCTAATTTTTGTCTTTTAAACTTGACCGGTTATTGAATGTGATTTGTTGTTATCCTTCCTGTACACGACCTGACGAGTGGCGCTTGGTATCATAGTAATTTTTCTGCGTTTTCCATTGCGTGTTCTTTTTCTGTTCCTCTTGTGTGCTATAACCTTTATTTGTGCGTTTCCTGACAGTGTAAAGCATATATGTTTTTGTTACCTTTTTCCTGATGAACTTTTATCACTATCATTGAGGGCATTAGTTTCTCGATCAGCATGACTAAGAGAAATATATACAGTGGGGGGAAATAAATATTCGTACACTTGAAAAATCGTATTTTAATGTATGTAAGTACACAAACTTAACAGGAAAAGTGATTTATATTATGTATAGAGTAAATACGATTTTTCAAGTGTACGAATATTTATTTCCCCCCACTGTACATACATTTGTTCATGTGTTTGTTATAGTTCCATGTGTGTGGATTCGTTTTCTTGTTACTTAGACATCGATTTATGTTAATTTTATATAGAGCCTCGGTAATTAATCAATTTTTGCTCGGTTTGTTGCGTGTTTTGGAATCATTTAAAGTTTTTGTTGCTTACGTCCTTTTGTTAACTCTAATTCATCGTTGAGACACGTTGCCATGCATTATGTGCAATTTCTTGGTGATGTTCAGTTTTAAATTGTTAATGGTGCCTGAAGATCAGCAACTTAGACCGATATCTTCTTTGCTCGTAAGACTCATGTTACCGTTGATGCTTCTATCAAACTATGTGCTACTGTAGTTCATCTTTTTGTTTGTGTAGCGGTATTGCAGGCCAGTAATCTTCTTGCTTTACGGTGGTGTCATATCCTGAGAATGTAATGATGAGTATTTTGTATTGCTTTTCCTTTGTCATGTCCCTGTAGGGTGAGGAGAACTCATTCTTCATACCTGCTGTCAACGTCACTGTTGTACTTTGACCTCGTGCATCTGCTGCAGCTTGAGCTCACACATCCGGTTCAAATTTCTGCTACCAAACGGGAAAAAGTACGAGAAAAAAATCTTCTGTTTGTTCTCAATTTCGCATAGCCTGGTTTAAATAGATGGTTGGGTTCATATATTCCTCACCGTTAGCTTTCTTGGGATACGTGTTAACTAGGTAGGTTCTTACTGATGGCGCTTCCATTGCACTATGGTGATGTTTCAGGTCTATGATAATGTGCCTTGCAAGGCAATGCATCTCTACAGTATTAAGACGTTGAGTTCGACACGACTCACGACTCACCACTATTGTCATATCGCCTATGAACGGCCAAGTCTGCGGAAAAAATTCCTATTATTCAATATTTACTAGTAAATTTGTAGGTTCTGGTGCAAAAATTATATTTTCTTTTTTTCGTACATTTTAAAATTTAATAAGGAAGTGCGCCATCATGATTTTTTTCCGGCCAACGCAGTTGAAAAAAACTAAATGGCTTTATTAAATACCCTGCAACCCACCGTCGGGTCATGCCGCACTTAACGTCTTAATACACGACACCTTTCTATTAACTGCCTGTAATGTAGTGTCTGGAAAAAAGGGTAATGCTATATGATACGTGTTGAATGTTTGGCATAGCTTTATTTTATTACTACGTTAATAAATGTAATTGTTGCACGCGTTGTTTTAAATCCCTGATCCTGTCCCGCACATGTGTCGCACTTCAACGAATACTACAGTAGAATCGCCCCTTATTTAAATAAAACTATAATTTTGTTCAAAACCACGATTTATAGGGTTCGATTTCTGCATTATAACTATCAGAAAGGTTTTAATCGTGCTAGAAATGTGTGCTTCAGCTTTGTTTTAAAATAGATCGTTTCATATGAAGGTCGGCGAGTTAAGTGCGGGGTTGAATGAGTGGGACTAGCGTTGGAACGTTCAATTTCGTGAAGACTTAGCGGGACATCGCGGCAAGAAAACGTTTCAAGTGTGTAGTAATGAATCATACTTGTGTCATGTTCAACATTTAAAAATATAGTATAGGGACAACTGTGATCATGTATTTACTTGAGAAACATATTTACACATGTGTAAACAAGTAAATCCTGTCATCTAATAATAATTTGCGAAACATGTAAACTACTCTGTGTGATTGTATAAATTTATCTACGCCTTCCTAAAATTTGAAAATATCAAATGAAAGCGCTCTTAGTATGAGAGTTGTTGAGCGTGGTTAGCTCCCCTCGTCTCGAATTGCCGCTGGTGCGACAGCGCGACCCTCGGGCGACGAGGGCTTTTATGTGTTTTATCGCAGCGGCGTTGATGAGCCGATGCGTGGGAGGGATGCTGCCGCGTGCCACCCGCCATGATGGCTTCTGTGTCAGAAGAAGGTTTTACCGCGAGACCAACACGTGTATGTATTTGAGAGTAATCCTCGTACATAAAACATGGTAGTGATATTGGTTGCCGATTAGTTGAAGCAGCCATTCATGTAATACATACAAAGAACATGAAAGAAGAATACTTTATGTTCTTTTTGTAATACAAAAAATAACATAAAAGAAGTCTCTGCACATATTTTCATGCTAAACACATGATCCACCTTATTGCAGCAACCAAATGCAAATAGATTGCCATGTAAAAATTTTATGATGCGTTGAGAAATAGTGGAAATGGCCTTGAGACATCAATAGGAGATAAAATTGAGCTTATTCAAAGCTTTTATTTATAACATTACATTTCTCTAGTGTTATTTCCGATATTAATGAATTTCTACCTTAGAGTTTGAAACGGATGCAAAGCTTCATTTGCGCAATTAATCTTGGTCTAAATGGATGTAAATACCTTTAGTGCTATCAATTCATGAGTTTTAGATTAAGTAAGTAACAAAAGCATTATCCGATACCACCATTATACAGGCATTATATTGTACAGGCAATTTAGCATCAGCAACAGCAGTATCCAAGAGGGCACTCCACCAGCATCGATGGCGGTGGCCGAGCTCATAATTCAGGCGCCAGTCGGCGGCAGCAATAATGTCTTGCAATAAAAACAGTGTGCGGCTTTTTTTATGGAGCGTCCGCTTGCGACGGCGTGGGTGCGCGATCGTCTTTTGTTCGGCAGGACGCGTGCCGCAGCGCCGGCGTCATCGTGTTATGAGAAGCTCGTCAAATGATTCCGCAATTGCTATGCCGATCGCTCGTATCTCAAATGTATGTTTGCGGCGACATTGTTTTCTACTGCGGCCAAATAGTTACAAATTGTGGTAGGTTGAACAATGAAGTCTTGGGAATTGTCCCGCTCAGTTTGGACGAATTGGTTTCAATTGCAGTTTCAGTTTGGACGAATTAAAATTAGTTTCCTCTTTTGAAGAGCCATATTGGTTTTCTGTTGTTATATTAATTATTATGGTTATAAATGTTAAAAGAAACAACCAGAAACAAACCCGCTTCACTGGTATTCGATTGCGCTTAAAAAAAAATACCCACTAAAATGTTGCGTGTAAAAAAAATCGTCGGCAAATTTATGCTCGATATATTTTTATTTCAAATCTACGACGAATTTGACAGCACCTCAGCCAGGAAGTAAACCTCTTTCCGTGTACATCCAACCACTGATTTCATGCAGCACCATTTTACGGGACCATCGTACGGGACTGAGAGTTAATTTATGCTGATGGGTTCAGGCGTGTTGAACAACACTCGATAATGCAGAGCTGAGGGCTCGGTTACTGAAGGGATTGCATGGCCTGGCCGCCAGAATGTGTGTTGACTCAATACTTGATTAATGTGAATATTTACGCAATGTGTGCAGGGATTTCCACTGGCCAAGTTATGTACAAATATAATCGTCAATGTATCAATATCAGCATGATCAGAATAACGGGAAAATCACGAGTCCTGTATGTAATCATGAATTTCTAAGGGTTAACTAAATCTAAGACTGAAAGTTGCGCATACATGATCACCTGTCACAAATTTTACCCGTGAAGTTTCCATCGAAATTGATACTTACGAGGTGTAACCGACAAGTAAAACAAGAACGATATAAACTCTCTTCTTGACTTAGCCTGGTTTGGTTGAGTGCAAGTTTCGTTTACGACGGAAATACCAAACATGAGTCATTATTTAACAAAGTGGTGAATCATATCGATTCCTGTGACTACCTGCTTTTTGTTTGCAATGTTCTCTTAATTATCAGCGAGCAGATCGTTTCCGCTGCAGTCATAAACTCAAAGTGTTTAATGTTTTTTCTTCTAGTCTTCGTAAATTCTCGCAGTGTTTCGAGACAGCATTGTTTAGTCGGGGCTGCTTGCAAGCGCTGCACATTTGCTGAGCCTGCAAATGGAATAAGAAATGAAGTCATGAGGATAGTTGACAGTAGCAGACTGTATCACTGTAATCATGACATTTGCGAGGTGCGAATTGCCACCCAATGGCATCGATACCACTTGGGGTTGATTGCTTGACGCATAACTGTGTGATTGAAAGACTTCCAATGGCGATATTAATTGACAAAGGTCAAGGGCTGTCTGCAGTTCAACTGAAAAGTGGATGAGAAATGAATTTCTGCTTCATGAGATTTCAGGTTAGTAAAGACTAATAGGAATAAATTTGAGATGATATTCATCTCGTTTAATAAATGCCTAGAATTTTTTCGATTTAACAAAGATGTTACAATAAAGTTCAAGAAAATTAATATTCGCAGCTTTACAAATGTGGTCTATATTATTTGAATCCGCTAGGAATGTCAGTGCAGGCTGGAGTGGTCTTAATGATGAACCTAACGATCGTAACACTTAACGTATACAGTCCGACGTTGCTACCTGTTACGTATATGCACTCGTGACGCTGTCACTCACATACAAACGTCGCCACCAACAGATGGAAGACATCCACATGTCGGCACCGCGGTAATCAAACATAAAATAACGACGACTGATAAATCTGAATAAAATCTTCATGTTTTCTATAATAACTTCAATGTGGTATCGATCTAACTATTAGATGGTTGTTTGTTTAATTCAACATCCCGGTGCAGGAGGATCGGGTACTAGGAAAAATCAAACGCAAACTCAGCACAAGCTCGCTCGCTGCTGAAGATATCTAAGAAAACTTCTTTGCATACTGCTATTTTGTCTGCGACGTGCAAGCTAAAAATAATGAGGCTTCATTTCTAAACTAATACATTTCAATAATTTAACGCATTTCCCCTTTTTTCAGGAGCCCGCTACAGTTTAGTTAAGGAACGAGCATCATATGGTTATTTCTAAGAAAGATGTCCATGGTGTAACGGCGTGACGCATGTAACGTATGGCGAGGC